GACCTAAATTCAAGTTCTACCTTCAGCCTCTAATTATTTTACAATGCTGGCAAGTCATTTCCCTCCTCTGAGTTTCCATGCTCTCATCTTAAAAATGAAGTAGTTAGAAGATCTTAAACATGCTAGAATAACAAGGTTCTGTGTCTACTGCTATAGCTCCAGGTTCTGCCATAGTGAGTGGTATTGCTCATCATTCAGTATATACGTCTCTCCTGAGCCTAGAGTGACCTAACAATTAATTATAGCATTCCCTAATTCTGTGGTAGAATTTGGAAAATTTATAAAGACTACAACATGATCATAATGCAAATGTCCTCAAACATATAAATAAAATGACCATTTTTACAAATATTGTAAAGTGAGTTTTACATGAGTCCTTTGTTAATAGAGGAAAAAAACACTTTAATATAAGTGCTGTCATAAATCTATTGGATCAACCTAAATTTCCACTGAAGAATTAAAGGAAGCATGACTTTTCAGAAATTAAGAGATTTCATTGAGACACTTTATGACAAATAAAAGCATAGAGTTTATATACCTCTATATTTATACACATTAATGATAGAGTAAACTTAGGCAACTAATTTTAAAATCAGATATATATTTCTTTCAAATATAAGGACACACTTAGACCTGTTAGCAGTAGACCAAATTGGTGAAATTAATTTGTTTTTAAAAATAATTATTTATTTAATTTTATTTATTATTACTTTTTTTTTAAAATTTGCTATAGGGCATGTATACTCACCAGAGAGCGAGAGAGAGACAGAGTGAGAAAACAAGCCACCAGGACGGGGACTTGAACTAAGCTCGACCATGTAGGAGTCTAGTATCTTAACCACCACACCACCAGCTACCCCAAAGTTGACTTATTTTTCAAAAACATCTCTTTTTTTTCTTTCATGAGAGAGAGACAACCAGCCAGGTGCCTCACCCCACCCCACCCCAGCCTTCCAACCAGCCACAATCATGGGCATGCACAGGTGCACTGAGTGTTCAGGTCAACCTGAGATCCAAACCCGAGGCCTTCCTATGTGATTCCGGTAATGTGCAGTGGCACAGCTGTGCTACTGTAACTGTGCCTTTTTTTTTTTTTAAATCTTATCTCTCAGGGCTCATTGGGCTAGCTAAAGTTGTTCATTTTATTCCTGAACTCCCATTCCTTAGTAAACCTCATTTATCAAATTTTCCTTTGCAGACCTATTTGAATTCTCCTTTTCCTTTTACTCAGCTTTCTTTTTCCCCAACCAAAATGTCTTTTGCTCAGATTAAACTCATTTGTCTAAAGGAATGAATAAATGATTTTTCCCAGAAGCAGTTATATTTTAAAAGAAAACCATTTCTGGAATGTATCTCTAATTGACCAAATTTTAGGCAATATAAAAATATCACTAGATAGCAGGTCTTCTAAAACATATGCCTATGTAATTGCAGAGTACGATGGGTTTGCAAGGTTTGCAAATCTTTTTTTTTTTTTTTTGCTATAGGGCACGTGTGCTCGCCAGACAGACAGAGAGAGACAAAGAGATAGAAAGCGAGAAAACAACCCCCACGGGGGGATGGACACACCACAATCCTTTCTCCTCCATTCTCCTCTCGGGATCTTGGGCACACATGCACACGCACCTGGCGTGAGTTTAAGTCACCGGGTCCAGGACTCAAACTGTGGTCAACTACATGGGAGTCCCGCGACATAGCCATTACGCTAACTGCTGGTCCCGGGTCTGCAAATCTTTAAAGCCATGGAACTCTTGCATCAAATAAAATTAGGCAGCAGTTCAATGTTAAAAGTGATAAAGGGATGAATTGCTTGAGGCAGTTATGGGGGCCAGGCCTCTTCCCATTCGCCCCTGCTTCTCTCCACCAGCCATGGCTGTGGAAGCACACACCCCAGAAAAACCTGGTGAGAGTTCAGCCCATATTCTTGCACGAATACACATATATAAGAAAGAATGGGTGATAGGGGCCAGCAGGTGGCATAGTGGTTAAGGGAGGGGATTCCCACATAGCTGTGATTAGAGTCTCAGACTTGGAGGCTTGCTTTCTGACTCTCTCTCTCTCTCTCTCTCTGCATGTGTGTATGTGCGTGCGTGCATGTGTGTGCGTGCATGTGTGTGTCTGGAAATACTAAAAAAAATAAATAAAATAAATGAAGTTAAATAAAATAATTTTTTTTAAAAAAAAGAATGGGTAAAATACACTAGATAATCCATTTTCTCTCTTTCTTTAATTTGCCAGAGGGTGCATGCACCTAACAGAGAGAGAGAGAGAGGAGAAAGAGAGAGAAAGAGAGAGAGAGAGAAATGAGAAAGCAACCCTTTCCCCATCTGCCACAGGGCATGGTCACACTGCAATCTCTTCATTTCTCCCTCTTGGGTTCTAGGGCCTGCATGCACACACACCTGGTGTCTCCCAAGCTGTTGGGTCTGGGGCTAGAGTCACATTGTCAGCCATGTGGGATCTAGCTGCCTTAACCACCAGGCCACTGGCCTAACCTATTAACTTATTCTCAAGCACCATCCAGGAGCTTGTAGACATCTTTTGAAATAATCACATTCATATTTTCTAACAACTTGAGAATGTTGCAAAATGATAGGTAAATAGAGTAAGAAATTTAGATTTGGCCTATATTCCTCTATTTTTATCTCTTTTTTTTAGAGGTTTTTGTTATAGGGCATGTGTGCTTTCCAGAAAGAGAGAGACAGAGAGACAGAAAGTGAGAAATCCCTCCCCCAGGGCCACGCCACAATCCCTTCTCCTCCATTCTCCTCGGGATCTTGGGCACACACGCGCAAGTGCCCAGCGTGAGTTTAAGCCACCGGGTCTGGGACTCGAACTGCAATTGACTACATAAAAGTCCAGCAACTAAGCCATTATACCAGCTGCTGGTTCCTCTATCTCATTTGAAACTTTGGTATGTGACATGGTTGTGTTGTAAATTACATATGGTCAACTAAGTTGTATCTTGAAATCAGTGTCATTATTACTAGTGCTTTAAGAGAAGTAGTTCCCTCTAATTTGGACTTCTTCAACTCAAATTCAAAATTTAATCCAACCACTGAAATAATTGTTTTCCCTTGTGAAACAAGAGTTCCAGTGGCATTTTCTCAGCAGAAACAATTGAAGAAACGTCCTTCGGAAAGAAGTACCAGTCCTCTTTTTGCTGGGCTCCAGACCTGCATTTCTTACCCTACATATACCTCAAACCCTAATTCTTTCACCTTGTCCCAAAACATGTCCCTCCTCTGGGTTAATGGTATACCACCTACTTACCTAGTTACTGAGCTAAAATCTGAATGTCAGCCTCAGCACTGGTGGCATTTGGGGCAGGATAACTCTTTTTCTGGGAACCCATTATGAGCACTGAGGGGTGTTTTACCAGCATCCCTAGTCTCTCTCCTCTAGATACTAGTAGTACTTACCCTATACCAGGCTTCCCAATAAAAAAATCTCTCCAGGCATTGTGAAATGTCTGATGGAGGCAAAATAAACTCCACCTGAAAACCTCTGATGTGGATGGTCTCTTTATTCACACAGTATTCCACAGGTAAGTGTTGTAACTTCCTGTAGCATTATGCAGATGAGAAAACAATTTCTGAGGGATTAAGAGACTTGTCCTTGGTCTCCATGGTTAGAATGTAACAGAGTTGGTCTCAGATAAAATATCATAGAATTTGCTTTCCCTTTGCTGCTTCTAATGTTCAATTCTCTCTTCCCTAGTTTTTAATTTTTTTAATAAATTATTTATTTATTTATTAGTATTTCATTTGGGATGTCTCGATTTTGTCCTATGCTTTCTATTTCCCATGCAATTGTCTTTGCTCAGATCTGTATTTCTTTTTCTTTTTTGGACAAATTTTTGCTATAGGGTGGATATGCTCATCAGAGAGCAGAGAGACAGAAAGCGAGAAATCACCACCTGTGGAAAATGGCCACACCACAATCCTTTTTCTTCCATTTACCTCTCAGGATTTTGGGCCCAACATGAGTTTCAAGTCATTGGGGTGGGAGCTTGAACCTCAGTCAACTATGTGGGAGTCCAGTGCCTTAACTATTATGTCTCCTGCCAAATCTGTATTTCTTACCTAGATTTAAATACTAGGCTTTTAATTTATCTTCCTTATTCAATCTTTTTATTTTTCACTCTTCTTTCACATTGTGAAGCACAAACCTTTTAGCAGATATTATTATACAACTGGTCTCTTGGAAATGTTAAGTGCTCTCCATATGGCCAATAGCAGTGGTTCCCAAAGGGTAGTCCTGGGCCAACAGCTTTGCTATCACTTGTAAACTGTAAGAATGCAAATCCTTGGGCCCACTTTGGGGATGAAGACCCCAAATCTGTTTCAACATACCCTCTAGATGTTTCTGATGCTGACTGAAATTCAAGACCCTATGGCTTACTCCACAGCATTCTAGTGCCTGAGAATGGCATAGATGTCCTTTCCTGCCATGTTTTTGCCATTACCTCCTCCACTCTTATCCTACCCGACTTACTTGCCCACCTTTCAATTTCATTCTTTCATTAGCCATCACGTAAGCATTTGTCTTTCTATGCTATGTAGCAATAATATAAGCAAGACAGTCGCTTCTTAAGTGACCTGGGGTCTGGAGCGCCAGTTGTACCAAATCTCCTAGAATTAGGTACACCTGGTGTTCTTCATTTAAGAACTCGAGCCTCTGCCACTCTCTCCTTCTTTTTGGTAAACTCCTGCCTTTCATTCTCATATGTCCTTTTTCCTGAATTAGTCAGAGGGTTAATCCCTGGTTTCCCTGAATATTCACTAGCTTTACTCATCTGCCTTTCATTTCCTGTATCCCATGGTGGCATATGCACTGGAACCCAGCTTATGTGAACGGAAGAGCCTTCTCCACCCATTTGGCAGAAGCAGCACTGAGCTAGTGGTCATTAACCTGGCACATAATCAGAACCATCTGGAACCTTTTTAAAACTGGGATGCCAGAACTCACCCCCAAATATAGGAACAGTCTTACCCATCTATGTGTTCAAATCTCCACAGCATAGTTGAATCACTGCACAATGTCCTGCCCAGAGCAAGTATTTAATTAATATTACTACTTCTTGAATGGGCAAGTACTTAGCAAGGCGGCCTAGAGAACCAGCTCTGCTCACTTCTCAGTTTGCTTCTTCAGCCTTTTTATTTCCCTTCTTTTGATTTCACTTTCCATTTCTCTAACTTGAGAGTTTCTGCAATAGTAACAACCAAACAGCAGTCATTGATAAAAGGCTGTATTTTGTCTAGGTGATTTAATTGTTGATCCAATCTCTGGCATGGTAAGGTTCTTGTTCATAATCCCAAACACGCAGCAGTAACCTCAAAGGAGGGTTACCCGTGAGACGGTTCCTAAGGCATCCTTCAGGATTCTAGTCACTTTGCAGCTGCTCCCTCACAAGGTGTTTCTGACTGGTCACAGTTATCCTTACTGTCCTGGAAGGTGTTTTGAAAACTGCCACTGACACACCTGAAGCCGGCTGAGCCAGCTCAAGTCAACATCTCCGGCTGGCTCCGCCCTGGCTGGAACCTGTGATAAGGTCCCAGGGAGCTTCTGAGGAAGATGAATGGGGAAGTTCTTTGGGGCGGGAGCAAGCTGCAGCTGGTAGGGAGAAATCGACACTCAGCTACCGCTCTTTGCTCTGCTCTTTGGAACCACATCTCGAGACCCGCTTAGTCCCCCAGCCGCGTCGTTGGGTTCAGGTAGCGCCCGGGCCCGGGACCATGTACACCCGAAGTAGGGTGGTGGGCTCCAAGCTCAGCGCCTCCCCTGCCTCCCACCCCTCCCGGGCCCCTGATGGGCTGCCCGGGGAGCTAGGGCCCCAGACAGGCCAGAGATCTGGTTTGGACGCTGGCGGAGACAGCGCTTCACGAGAGAGCCTGCAGCGCTCGCGCCAGAGGTAAGTATTTAACCACCTGCTGCGCGGGGCGGAGGGGATGCGGGAGCTCGGCCCAGACGTACTCACTCGCATCTTCTTGTTCTTTGCAGTTTGAAACCACAGGGGCCCTATAACAGGGTTTTTGAGAGAAAGAAGTAGCCTTTGCCCAAATAAAACCATCCATGAATTACCTTGGAGTCTGCCAGTTAGCGAGCGGTTCTCTACTAAATACCCGAGCCCCCATTTTCTTTAGAAACGTTACACTTCCTGATTGATTGTGTGACTGGCTTCATAACTGAAGCTGTGAGTGTGTACCTGGGCTTCTTAAGTTATTTTCCAAGTACCTCCAGAGCCCATACTCCAACTAGTATGAAAATAAGTTTTCCATTCAATTTTTGTTTTTTATTTTCTTTCTTTTAAGAGAGATTTTTTTTTTCTATATCCTATAGTGTGTGCGTGCTCGCCAGAGAGAGTCAGAAAGAGAGAAAGCGAAAAATCACACACACACCCAGGAGGGATGGCCTCGCTGCAATCCCTTCTCCATTCTCTTGGGATTTTAGGCACATGTGCACAGGCTCCCTGCTGAGTTTTAAGCCACTGGTTTCTGGACTTCTACTGAGGTTGACTATGGGATTCCAGCAACATACCATTATGCTGTCTACTGGTCCCTCTGCTAAGGCTTTCTCTTTTTTTTGGAGATGTTTTGCTATAGGGCACGTGTGCTCACCAGGAAGATAGAGAGAGACAGAGAGACAGAAAGCGAGAAATCACCCCCCAGGGGGTATGACCAGGCCGCAGTCCCTTCTTCTCCATTCTCTTCTCCGGATCTTGAGCACGCATGCACTCACACATGCCCGGCATGAGTTTAAGCCACCGGGTTCAGGACTCAAACCGGGGTCACTACTTGGAAGTCCATCGACATAGCCATTACGCTACCTGCTGGTCCCCTCTCTGTTAAGTTTTAAGAACTTGGTGGGTGCCCCAAATGCAGTCACCACATCAGAAACCAGGCTGAAAGCCAAGAAGGAAAGTGATGGGGAGTAGAAGACCCATTATCTTGCTTCTTAGAGCGAGCCTGCCTCTCAGCTAGGTTCCCAGATAAACTAGACTCTTGAAACCAGAGACTTGGAGCTAAGAAAGTGAGGAAGAAATGGGTTGCAGTGCCCCTTGTCCTGTCATTCATATGTACCCTAGGCAGGAACAGAGAGGTGGCCTTAATTCCTGGTCTTTGGTTCAGGGACTATGGCTGGTATCTGAGAAATATTTATTATGCAAACTGTCAGTGATCTCTCTGCCCCATGGAATAATCTTCTTTAACTCAATAGCTTGGTTTGTAAAGACCTTACTGCTTTTGAACTGCTACCTCCGTGGATTGGAACTGTCCAAATGGTTTTATTTTTAGTTTCCCCTTTTTCATATAGTCACCAGTCACATAAAATAAATGCTGGTTGCTAAGAAACAGTATATAACCTTATGACCGAAAAAACAGTAGATTTTCTTTCATCCCTGAACTTTTGAAAATACCAAGCCTTTAATATTATTCTGTTTAGGATTTTCCTTAGATTGGGTGGATGATCTGGAAATCAATTAGATATTGCTGCATTTCTCTCCCCAGAATAATTGGTATCTTGCCACATTTGAAGTTCATTAATTTCAAGTGATCTACATATCCATAAACTGCAACACTTAATAGTAACAGAAGTCATGGACATATGGTTTAATGTTCATGAGGGGTTAATAATAAACATAAGTTAAATGCCATCTTTTCCTATTAAAGTGTCTACTGGGCCAGCTCTGTGGCCTAGTGGTTAAGGAAGCCAGAGCCCACATGGCCACAATTTAAATTCTGGCTCCTGCAGTTTGAAAAACTTGATGGCACCCAAAATCCTGACAGGATGGAGAAATGGAGGAACAGAGGTTGTGGCATGACCAGTGGGCCCCTCCTCTCCCCATGAGGGTATGTGCCCTCTAGCAAAACTTTAAAAATTTTTTTAAAAAGCATCTATTTTGATATAACCATTTATTTATAAGCACTAGCCTTTGCATTTTTTTTTTTTAAAGTTTATTTTTTATTATAATTTTTTTTCCATTGCAACACACAAATGAATTTTCCAACCAAGATACACTGTGCATTGGCTCAATCAAGCACATCAACATATATGTTCTCAGCAAATAATTTCCCAATTCTTGTGTCCTGCATACCTTGCCTTTTGTTTTACCATCCTAGATTCCCCATCCCCCTCCCTCTGTTATGACCCATCCTCCTCCCACATTGTCCCTGTCATCCCCGATTGCCCTCCGTGCCTCACCCCTCCCCAAATGATCTGTCAGTGATCTTAATTAGTCTAAGTCTCTCCAATAGTTATCACAGCTGACACATGCCTCTACATGAACTCAAGTCTGACTTTAGGCCTAAACCCCATTGGGTAAAAAGAGCATACTATAAAGTAGAACCCAACTGGGCCCATACCGCTCACTGCAGCCATCAAATATCCAATTTTTTTTTTTAAATGGTACGAATAGTTTAACCGTTTTTTTTTGTTTGTTTTTTGTTTTCGTTTTTTTTT